CAGCCCACGACCAGCGGTCAGAACTGGCAAAGATCGAGACCGGAGGGCGTTGACCTTTCGCAACTTCAGCAGAATTTGTCGTGTCCGACCGGACCATCTGCCCCAGGCAGCCCCCGACGTAGGCACAAATCCCACCGACGGCATCGTGTTGCGACGCCACGAACGCGAACAAAACATATTTCGACGACGCATCAACTTCGTTCCAGAGCGATCCCACGTGGACGTACCGCCCGAACGACCGGACACACGATGTAGTACGAGCGTCCAATGTCGAGCTTTTCATTCTGCTTACTCGGGCCTTGCCCACGCCGCATGTTCACCCACTCGCGAGGGAGCTGCGACCGGGACGCCGCGTGTGCCATGCCCATCACAGATCATCCATCGACCCAACCGTCCGTGTGCTGCTTCAACAAATGTAGTCGGCCCAGAGCGCCTGGCAAACCCAAATGCACGTACCACCGCAAGAAAAACGTGTGCTGCGTGGACGACTGCTCCAACCAAGTATACGCTCGAAGTGTGTGCGTCGGCCATGGAGCACGCAACGCGTGCCAATTTCCTGGTTGTTTGGGGTTTGCACGAAGCCGAGACATGTGCAGTCGCCACACACACAGCCAGCGAAAGCCACCTGCGGCGCCAAAGGCATCGAGGAAATCCAAAGCGGCCATGCCAAAGAGCAAAGGCAATGACGGGCCCGTCGAGCCACGCGACGTGGTCGTTTTCACCGACCCGATGGCGCCGATTGACATTCGCCTCTTCGACGAGATCTTGGAGGCGCTCGTCGCATATCCGGTGCTGTGAAACGAACCAACGGGCAGATGTTTGCCGGCAAGATCGCGCCGATTCGCCTGCATAATTCGTAATCATTGCTTTGACGTCTTTCATCGCCGCTGCGACGGCCACCGCCTGCGACGTTTGTCGCTGGGCAATGCGATTGTCGACATCATCGCGGACGGGCTGCCCCAACACACGCAATATTGCTGCACAAAAGAGGTTGTAGATGCTGAACAAGTCACGGCTGGCACATGCACGTGAAGGACGAAACGAGTGACCTTTTTATCACATCCCGACCGACCAATTACTCCACCAACGTGGACGCCGACTTGAGCCAGCACGTGCTGTCGTCGGAGTCACTCCACGGCAACCCTTGGCACGCGGCAATTGGCATGCATGGCAACAGCAGTCCTTGGCGCTGTCATCGAACCAACGCTGCGGCCACGAAAATCGACGGTCATGGCCAAGTTGGGACGCGTACAGTTTGGAACGACCTGATCGACAAAACGGTCCTTTCTGGTGGTGCACGCTCCGGGGTACGACGCAAAGCTCGTACAATCCGAGTCGAACTCGCACACACGGACGCACATGCGTTGTGTGAGCGCTGGAAAGTTGCGCGCGTCGCCGGCGGTGGAATCGCGACCGTAGGCGTATCTGGCCTTTGTCTGGGAACGATCGACGGCGCAGAAGTGGTTCGAGTTTTCACGAGACTTCCCCGACGGGGTTGGTCGACTCAACAATCGATCACACGGTCGGGGGAGTCCAATGCTTGAGCCTGTGCAGAGTCGGCTCGTCGTGCCAATGCTGGTTCACGTTGGAGGGGTCGCCGGCCCACAAGTGGAACCCGTCGGGACATGCATCGATGTAAGTGTTGGGGGCAGTGCATTGCGCCCAACTGGCAGTTGTCGTGTGCTCGAACAACGACGGAGGCGCCAGGGCCGATTGATGCTACATGACGACGGGTCGCACCACGAGCTTGGGGTTTTGTTGGCCTCGTCCAGCACCTTGTGGGTGGCCGCGAAAAAGTTCAAAGAGAATTGTCCAAGGCTTCGCAGAGATAGTTGGGACGTCGGTGGGGACGTAGAACGTCGTGCATTCGGACAGCCAATTGGTGCAGTTGGTGTTGGTCTGAGGGGAGCGTCATAGGAGGGGGACAAGGTCGAGTACGAGATCTAGTCGTTCAAAGGGTACGTCGTGAGCCATGGTACGGCGTTGTCGCTGAGCCCCACAGAGGCTGCGCTCGAAGACAGTGCTGCTCCGATCGCAACAGTCTCGCCCACGTTGCAATTCGTGGACGAGATGGTCCACGTTGACGACATGCCAACGCGACAACAGCGAATGCACACGATCGGGGAGCGCAGAGAGATGCATGGCGGCGCGAAGACGACTACGTGAAACGTGTGGAATTGCAGTCCATCCGTGCTCGCTCTTGTAAAGGACGCCACGAGGAGGTTTTGCATTCCGTCCGTGAAGAAATCGAAATCCAACTGGAAGGTCGTGCAGGCGTCGGCAAGGTGATCAGTGTCGTCCCGTCGAAAGCATTTACAGTTGGTGTCATGTGGCGGCCAAGCAATGTGTGTTGGATGGCATCGCGACCTTGAGCTAGATTTCCATGAGGCTGGGCCCACCGCGCCATCCACTGTTTTAACCATGGTGAGATGCAGCGGCAATCTTGGCTGTGCCATCGTGCCTCACGAGAGACTCCCCGCGCCTGTGGATTTGGCAATAGTTGAACGAACGATGGCGATGTTGTTGTCCATTTCCACACAACTGACACAGTCGTGTTCTTTCAATCCCGTGTGTGCGTCGACGTGTATTCCGACTGAAGTGCCGTCGGTCGTGGGCAGCATGCCCGTGGCGTCGGCAGGCTGGATCACGTTTGGCGCGCTGGTGCTGTTTGGTATCGCAAGTGGCCTTCCCTTTTGGTCGCACGCGCCGCCGTCGGCCAACGTCAGCATCAGCGTTGGCTTGTGGCAATTCTGCGTGTACGTGCATGCGAAAGCCACGACCACCAGTGAGTGCCCCATTCCGTTCGTGGACGTCGAGTGCTGGTGGCTCCATGCAACCAACAACTCTCCGTTTTCAACCGTTCGACTGTGTTCGATGCGCTCGCACGACACGTTGGCGATGCTCACGTGCGACGCCCCAGCTGCATCCACCTTTTTGCGGCGGGCGTGCAGCGGGACCGGGTTGGCGGCTGTGTTTTTGGCGGTCGCGGTGCTGGCCCTCGTAGCTGCTTCGTTTGTCGTGGGGTTTGTCTACCGGGACCGCGATTACGCTGGCCCAGCCGTTCCTGTTCCGACCATGTGGCCAACGATGCTGCTCTCGCTCGCGTGCTCGTTCTCCGTGGCATGGATCGTCGTATGGTCCATGTATTCGCCGCCAACGGCTACCTTTGGCTCGGGCGCTGTGCTGCAGGTGGCCGCGACTGGCGTCCTGATGGCTGCGTTGGGAGTTGAGATCGAGGAAATCATGGCGTTGGGGGGACTTGGTTTGTGCCGCAAGGCTCTGCGTCGCATTCGAGCGAGGGTGTGATCAAAGCCCAGGCGAGTGGCTCTCGCGCCATGCGTCCGTCTGAAGTGCTGACCCCGACAATAAGCCGTAACAAACGCTGTTGCGCTAGTTGACGTGAGATGTAGACTCCACAGTGGAATGCCGGCATCGACGATGCCATTCGCACCACCACCCTGTGAGCGCCTTGTAAGAGTGTGTGGGAAAGGCCCAAGTTGCGCATGGCATATGGCATGACGCATGTGCGCCGACACACCGCTTCGAGAGGTCCCAGACAACGCCATATCGCGTGAGATTTTTGTATTGACTGAAACCACTTAGTACGACTTCCATCGGTTCGATCCAAGGTAGTGCTTGGCTTCGTGCTGCCGCCACCACCGCAAGCCCAAGTACACCCCTCCCATGCACAGACCAGCATACCCCGTGCCTTCGAGCCATCGCCGCCACGACGCGGCGCCGCCCCCCGACATCTCGACAATTCGACGGCCTTCCACCGAGTACGCGATGGCCGCGGGTTCGACCTTGTCATACGCGGTAAACTCGATGGGGGTCACGTACGTCGGCGACGCGCCGGACGACAGCGTTTGGTTGGACCGAATGTAGTAGCAGCTCTCCTGGTCGAGCTCGGCAATGATTTGACCGACGCGATAGTCGGTCGGGTCGCCGCGGTACTGTTGGATGTGTGTGATGGCGAGCGGCTGGTTCATGGACCCGTCCAGCTTGATGCTGTTGCGGTGGAAAAAGATAATTTGGCCGGTCGGGTCGTACTGGATCATGGCGAGCCCGCAGAAGATGCGCTTCGTATAACTACAGCAGCACGTCGCCATCAGAGTCCGCATCCATCCCACCAAAACGCACACACACCCCATCAAACCAACACATCTCGTCTCAACATCGTCCACACACGGTACCTGTAGATGCCGCCGATCGCGGGAGGCCGAGTCATCATGTGATACAAAGTGGACGTGTTGCGCCACGCGAGTCGAAACAAGTCCTTGTCCCCCCACACGAGCTTCAGATTGTCGAGGAGCTTGGGGCGGTTCGTGGAATAGTACATGAGCATGTTGAGCGCAGCGTGCGACCGGCGCCGATTGATGAGGACCTGGCCGCTCTCTTGCTCAAACTCGGACACGAATTCCATGTCGAGGAGCTGCCAGAGCAAGCTGTGGCTCGTCACGTCAAACAGCGAGTTGGGTGGCTGCCAGTAGTCGGGCCAAAAGAGCGCCCCGGACTCGACAAACGCTGGATCGTCGAATAGGTAGGTCGGGTCCCGCACCGGCACGTTGTCCGCATCCAGGAGCAGCACGTTGTCGTAGTGGGAATAGAAGACGGCGTACGGCTTGGTGTGGAACCCGATGGCGCGGGGGTCGAAGATCTCGCGCATGTGGACGTTGAAATCTCGAATCAAGTGCTGGATGAGCGCGTTGTCGTCGATCTGCATCTCGTCCGGCCGGTACCACATCTCAACGGGGAGCGTGCAACCATGATCGCGGATGACGCGAATCGCAGCGTATGCGCTTGGAAGGACCTTGTCGTACACGATCATGAGGATGGCGCGAGTCGGGGGATGCTGCTGCGCTTCGGGAAGCGACAGAGACGTCGCCAGTGGCATGTGCTGGTACGACGCCGCCAACACGGAAAACTCGGAAAAGTTGCGCGCCATCGCGCACTTGTACTCGCGGTGCTGCATCGAGTGGCACGACGTGACCATGACGCGGAGAATCGCGCCGGACGTCTTGTTCCGGACTTGGCAAAACCCGGCGCGGCGCTGCTCGATTGTGTCGTCGCACGTTTTCGTGACGAGCGGCCGACGACTGACCGTGTCGTCGGGTTCGCACGAGTCGGTCTCTTGCCACCCGAGGCACTCGTACGAGTCGTCTGTCCACAGGGTTGAGATGCGGTCCTCCTGGAAGTTGGGGACTTTGTGCATCGTTGTGTCCTTGTCGCTGTACTTGGGGACAGGCACGTCGGGCGTGAGGAGCCACATGGCGACGCCGACCCCGACCAACACCACGACCGCGAGGAGAAACCGCAGCACGCGTGGACGCCGCTCGAGACGCCGCCACACCAAGGACGCACCATTCCGCGCGCCACGTACGCACCCGGTGCACGTGCTCCACATCCATCGAACGACGGGAGAGCTCACGGACCCGTTCCCATCCAACGGCCACGGTCGCGTCGGCCCCATTCCTGTTTGCGAGTCAAGAATAGCGACCACAACTAGCGAGAGGTCCTGGCGACGACGGCGTCCTTATGCATGATATCATGGACATCCAAATGGCTATTTAATATTCCATACTGTTCCCAGCATTAGCTTGTCGAGCATATTTCAATAGCCAATCAAGATATTTTACCTTGAAGTGAGTATGGTCATTCACCCGTCTCCCCCTGACGTCGTC